TCCTGCTTTGAATTTTTTTCATGCATTTATGTTAATAGCCATTTGTTTATTTGCTTTCATGAGAGAAAGTTATCTTGTATTTCTCTTACTCCCCCTTCCGCTCTTGAACCTTGTCAAGCACTTGGTTTTAATCTATTACCATTTGCAACTGTGGCTAAGTGGCTCGCCAACTTGAAATAGATGACTTCCTATGCCATTTCTTGGTATTGAATATCTCTTGTACCATGCGAGGATTTGCTAGATAACCAAGCAGTCATTTACTGAAGATGGATATTTCAAGACTGGAGATACTGTTACTGTTGACGAAGACGGATATTACATCATTCTGGGACGTAAGCATACTGTCTTCCAAGTTATTTTCTAGTTGTGCTATACCAATTTCATATGGTTTTCTTTGAATTGTTAGTTGCTAGTTGTGCTATACCAATTTTATGCATGTTATGTTCCTAGAAGACTTGTATGACCTGCATGAGATTTGAATGGCAACTTCTCTGAAAGCAATTCAGCATAATCTTGTCTCCTTTCCCCTTTTGAATTTGTCCGTACATCAAATGAAATGACAATGTTGTCTACGTGACTGCTTCCTCAAATGATGAAGTTGAATCACTGAAAATGACTATCTCGCTACTTCAGTTTTTCTGATATAGTAATATCTACCAATGGACGGGGAAGTGCAAGTATGAGTGCCATACGAATATCTAAAATTTCTCAGTTAGTAGTTCAAACCCTCAAATGATAGTGTGTGTATAACTTCGTCTTGTGTGTTCAAGAACCCAAACGGTAGATATAGGTCTGTGAAAGATATATATCTACTAGATTATAGTTGATTCTAGTTTTTATCAATAAATATTTTTTGAAGACAAAGTTCTAATTTTTAGAAGTGGCACTTATTAAGTTTATTCGACCTTGGTTCTTTGGCCTGTTGCTTTCCATTCATAAAACAATGGAGTGATGAAAGTTCTTTTGCTATCAACCTGCATCTGTTAGAGAGAAAATTGATTTCTTTTAGAATTGATATTTTTTCTTTTTCAGGTACAAATGCTGATATTATGAAGTTTGGTGGATACAAATTATCAGCATTGGAAATTGAAGCAGTTCTATTGGAGGTTGCTGCTTGTCTATCTATCTATCTATATAAACACCCTTGGTTTCTATCAAATTTTGAATGTTCCCCTCTGATATAGCTCTCAAATATATGATTTCAACAGTTAACATTAATCCCGTGCTAATCAAATTTCTCGTTCACAGCATCAAGCTATATCAGAGTGCTGTGTGTTAGGCTTGCCTGACAAAGACTATGGCGAAGTGGTATGTGCAATAGTTGTGCCTGAGGCTGAAGTCAAAAGAAGACGAGATGAGGAGCTAAAGCCTGCACTAACCTTGCACGAACTTTCTGATTGGGCAAAGGAGAAGCTTGCCCCATACAAGGTATCACCCATACTTGGAGAGTTAATTCTTACTGTTGCGCTTATGAATCCTGTTTGTCCTCCATATATTGAGCTTGGAAAACAAATTCCTTGTTCTAGTACAGTACATGACTGTTTTGAATGATGAAGAAACATATAAACGCTGAATTACTTGGACAAGGAAAAGGAGTTCATGCTTGTTTGGTTGATATTGTTACTATGATTTGCTTTTCTTGCGATATGTTTTGGTATTGAAGTACTAAGGTGCTTAAGCTAATTCTTGCCACTTTATGACTGTAATCCAGATACCAACTCGTCTGTTTCTGTGGGAATCTCTGCCTCGAAATGCTATGGGAAAGGTGAGATATACCAAACTCCAAACCCCCCTCCCCCCATGCTGCACTACTAAAAAGAGGTTAAAGAACCATGGAGTCAAAAATGATGGACAGCGTCGCTGCAAAAATATGACGCAATTTGCAACGCTGTTCGTCATTTCTATTTATTTTAGAAAAAACAATGGACAATGATTCTTTGTCCGTTGTTTTTTTTGGTGGATTTTTTCGTCATATATATTTATATAATTAATATTTAATTATTTATTATCGATATCGATGATATCGGTCTCTTTGGATTAAAAATAATAATTTATTAATTATTTAATAATAATGCCATCCGTCATTTTTAATTAATTTTTTTTTTTTAAAAGAAGCGACGAGCGGTGTCACTTAGTCTGTCACTTTTAGTCAAAATGTTGGTCAAACATTTTTAAAAAGCGACGAACAAGTGACGCTGCCATCACTTTTTAAAAAAATATCTAAAGGCAGATCTTGTTTTTCCCATTTTCTCTCTTTCTCTCTAAATTCCTCCAATCCCTCCCAATCACCACTGTATACGATGGTAAAAGAGTCTTGTCAACGACGGATAGCGTCGCAAATTGCATTGCTTTTTGAGCGACATTGTCCGTCATTTTTGACTCCATGGTTTTTTTAGCTCTTTTTAGTAGTGAATGGATATTTGCCTCCCTATATTCTTTCACTTGTGTTCTTTTTTAATATTTGAATTCAAATAATAATGGTTATAAACAGCAGATTTGATATCCTTTTTCTCTATACTAGGTAAATAAGAAAGAGCTGAAAAGGAAGCTGGTTGAAGATCCCAAATGAGTCAGAAGATGAAGCATCAGAAAGTAAAATAATGCTTTAAGGTGTCACTCTATGTTCTTTCACACAAAAAAGGTCTTAAAAGAATATTAGTCCAGACAGTGACTGGAGTGAAAGTGCAATTAGTATATTAAATCTAGGAATTTTAATAAGAATTGAATTTAGAAAACATGTTAAGAGTTGATACATGGATACTGTATATCCAAGATAGGACTCGCGAGCCCTACTAATTCTACTTGTGAAATGGACCTGAATATTGATTTTCTTTATTCATTCTTTTCTTCTGCTATCCCATTTCTATAATTGTAAAAGTTCTGAAATTTACTTCTTGAAAAGTGCCAAGGTATTTGCATTGCAGCTTTTTCTATTGGCATAATACATACATATGTTTTTTTTAACTTGGCTTCAACTTACATTTATGTCTTTCAACTTTGGTATGCTCAAGTAGACATTTTAAATTTGTATAAAGTTCAACAAATAGGCACATGTGTTCTACATGACAATTTTCATCCTATGTGGTGTCCTATGCGTTTTATGCCACATAGAATTAACGTGTTTACTTGTTCAATTTTATACAAGTTAAAGTGTCTACTTGTGCACATCCAAAGTTGGAGGACATAAATGTGAAAGTGAAATGAGACCAAGTTAGTTATGCCTTTTCTATTCGTGCCCTCATGTCACTTGTCATTCACCAATGGATTATCCCACTATTCGAGTCCTAGTTCCCATCACTACTACATTTTGCGTTTTTACATTTAACTAAGCAGGGAAGTATTTCACATGACATGTAGGGGATGCATTTTGTATCCTCTCTTTTTTTGGTACATAAGATGGATGTTATGGGCATATACTAAGAGAGTGATAAGATTAGGAATGAAGTTATTGGGGAGAGGATGGAGTGACCTCTATGGTGGATGATGGAGGTGAAACTAAGATGGTTCAAACTTCAATATGTGAAGAGAAGAGGGATAGATCATGCCTAATGAGGAGCAGTGAAAGGTTGGCTATAGCGGGTGTGAGAAAAGGTAGAGGTAGACCGGAAAAGTCTTGGAGAGAGATGATTAGAAAAGACATGTCTCACCTGCAACTTATCGAGGACTTGGCCCTCGATGGAACATATGAAGGTTGAGGATTAAGTCAAAAAGTTAATTGGTCGAGCATTGTATGATTCAATTTTTAGTATCGTTACTATTATTCTCATACTATCTTGTTCTTCGATTTTGATATCATCTAATGTTTCATTTGCGTCAGTTTTCCTATTATTTTATCATTGCTACTGTTCTATTCTTCATTGTTTTCAGCATGTCTTTTTCGCTATTGTATTTGTTTGACATACTTGTTTTTTTATATGTTTTATTCGAGTCAAGAATTTATTGGAAACAATATCTCCATCTTTTCAAGAAAGGAGTAAGGCTGCGTACACACCATCATCTCTAAAACTCAATTTTGTAATTACACTCAATATATTATTATCATGATTGTTGTCTTTTTTGATAAATGAAAAAAAAACCTAAATAAATTTCTTAATAAACACCATATCATTGAGCCTTTCTTCTCAAATTTACAAATCTTAGTGTGTTTTCGTTTGTTAGAAAATCTGCAAATTTCTTTTCCTCCCCAAAATTTGTATGATAGTATCTTTGTTCACGTCAACAAATTATTTATCTTCCTCTTTCATAAGTTCAACAAGAAGTAAAATTTCCACCTCTGAACCCCTTAAATCTCCCATCTCTGAACACTTTTGATCTCCATACAAAAATTCGAAAGCTATAGAAATAAGTCCATCTTGAAGAAGAGTTCTGACACTATGGTAAAGTTATCTCCATGTGATTTATGGATTACAGATTTGAATTGTGAAATCAGTCATTGATACTTATATTAAAGTAGGCTACCTACGTTACTCACACTCCTTAGGGGTGTGACCCTTCCCAAATGTTGCGTGAATGTGAAATGCTTAGTACACCGGCCTATGCTTTCTTTAAAATGAAATAAATAAGCAGACCTAAAAACATTGTACGTGGTGACTAATGAGGGTAGTGTAGAAATCAACGGACAAGTAGGATAGTGATACGAATTGGGCAGGCAAGCTTTCATAGCTCAGTTGGTTAGAGCACCCGTTTAGTAAGCGGGAGGTCTTGAGTTCGACTCTCAATGAAAGCAATGAAGTTTTTTACCCCTCCATTCTTGTTTTTACCCTCATTGCCAAACCCTATTAGATATTTGTGTGCACATTGCGGTATGTTAAAGTTAAATTGTTGGGGTTATTATCGTAGGCCATTTGAAGGCCTAACTTAGATTCAATGGATGTTCTCAACCTATATGCTAACATCCTTTTTGAGAGTAGGTCATTGATCCAGATGATGGGGATGCACCAGTGCCACACATTTATAAATCAACTAAAAATGAAAGTGAGTCATATATATTGAGATAGATGGAATACCAAATCAAAGATCTCATTGAAAAATGAACAACCAAAGCAATTATAACATAATTTACTTATAAATACTATGTATACACTAAACCACTAGCTCAACATGATTTCAAGTGGTTGACCCTGGCCTAGATACATTCTCTAGTTCCATTTCACCATCTTCCTCTACCAATTTCTTACTCCCACTCTCAACACAAGGTCCATAAGCCCAACTACAAACCATAAAATAAACCAAATTAAAACAAGTCATAATAGCAAGAAGCCAATAGTAATTCTCATAATGCCCCCTATTAATATTACTTGAAACCCAACTTTCTTTCCCTTCCCTTTTGGTAATACTATCCACATTGCTCAGTATCACACTTGCCAACAGATTTGCCACAGCAGTTCCAAGTCCAAACATCGCGGTAGCAATACTTGACATACTTTTCGGGAGCTCAGAGTAATAGAATTCTATTTGGCCAATCGCGTTGAATGCCTCTGCTATTCCATTTAAACAATGTTGTGGCACAAGCCACATTGCTGACATTGCCACTACTCCCTCGGGGTTGTTCAATAGGCCTTGATCGATTGATTTCCTTCTACGAATATGTTCAATGATCCCAGAGAGTAACATTGCCATACAAGAAAAGAATATCCCAATTCCCATTCTTTCTTTAGTTCCAATACGAAATGGTTTACCTCTGATTCTTGATCCTAATGGAATGATCACGCGATCATACACAACAAGCCAAACTGTTAAAGCAATGACAGTAAATATCCCAAAAGAGGCTGCTGGAATTTCAACGCGTTTAGTTATATGTCTATCCATAGATTTAGCTTGAAGTAAAGGGAACGAACTTTGGCTCAAGTTAATCGATACCATGATCCCTGTTGACCACAATGGCATCACTCTAACGAGGGACTTTAGCTCCTCAACTTGCTCAACTGTACAAAGACTCCACGAATCGACTGCTACACCATCTTGCTTAACATCTTCAGAGGATTTTATAATGCAAGCTTTGTTCAAAAACCTAAAATTGAAACATACACACTTCAGCTAAGACAATAATTGAACACATTCCTTAACACAAGAGCAGAGTTTTTCATACCTTAATTTGCTCGTTGGCACGATAAATTCTGAACCTTTATTGTAATGGTAACCAGAATTCTGTTCAGGATATGCAAGTTTCCTATTCTTATAAGCAACGACAATGACCTGAACAAATCTACCCAACAAATTGTTGATCACGTTTTCCTTGATATAAAGCGGAGTAGCAAGAAAAAAGAGGAAAGCAGAGAAGAACATAATAACCACAGGAACACCAAATCCGATTTTCCACCCCATATGGTCTTGAAGATATACAATGCCAGTCATAGCAATAAGAACAGAGATCATGACGGCAGCATAGTACCAGTTAAAATAAGTCTCCAACACGCGTTTGATATTACCATTAGTATCGCGCTTATCAAACTGATTTGCACCAAATGCTAACGAACATGGTCTAATACCACCAGCACCAATCGACATAAGCATAAACGAGGAGATCAAGATTGTATATTGAGCTGTTGTTGCAGATTTACATGCCTGACCTGACACTAGAAGATTGCAAGGGGGAGGCCTTGCTTTCGGAATCATTGCAGTTAACCACAACACAATTGTCCCCTGAAAATTATAATGTGACATTAAGGTGTTTAGTAGCAATCACAAAACCTGAATATTTGACTCTCGAAATTAACACCATGTGTCACATAAATTGAGACATCAGAAATACTACACTAAAAGGATAAGAGAGATGAAAAAAGGAAAAATAACTTATTCTCATCATTTAAACGTCAAATTACATTAATTTTATTATGATTAATGAATTCTGTTGAAAATGAGTATCAACTATTAACCAACACTGTTTAAGTTATACTAATATATGTAAAGATTTACTTTCTGCGTTCATTTTTACTTGTCACTATTTGACTTGACACACGCATTAAGAAAACAATTATCAATATAAGTGTTTTACCAAATTATCCTTATTATATGATGTTTAGAATTAGGTCTTGGAAAATGATTTGGAAAAAAGACATTTAATGTTGAGGGTAAAACATGGAAAAAAACAATTGTCTTTTCTTGATATATCGAAAGTGACAAACTAAAAGTGAATGGAGAAGTATGTCATACACCTTCCATTTGGATTTATTTGTCAAATATTTTCTAATTTGATTTCTACTTTTACTTGTCATTTTTGACAAATCAAGAGAAAGACAAAGAAAATTCCTATTATACCCTCCATTTATTAACGTTGAGTTAATGTCTTTAAAAAATGTATTGAGTAAATATGTTTGAGACCTTATCAATTAATAGAGGTAAAATAGTAAACTCACTATATCAATTATTGTTTTTTTAATAGATATATCAAGTTAAAATTTGACAAGTAAATCCAAACAAAAGAAGTATATTCATTGAATTTGTGCAAAAATAGAGTAAATTTTTTGCCTAAGAAAGAACGGAGGCTATGCAATGAACATGAATTATTTAATACTTAAACTTCACTAATTATACTAATTTAACACACTAACTTTAATAACGCCATTAAGTATAGTATAATCATAAAAAAAGTACTCCATTAGTGGTAATGCCATTTAAGTATGCTATAAGCATTGACAACAAATCTACATCGTATCAACGCTGGAAACAAGTGTACCTCGTATCAATAATTACAATAAAAGTCATATAATAATTTTCGGGCCTCGAAAAGATCTACTATTTTTTTTTTTAAAAAAAATTAAACTATATATAATCAATATAACAGGTTATTCTTATCGGATGAAATTTCAAATCTTAAAAATAAAATATGTTATATGTTACGCTGATGTGTAAGAATGACATGATAAGAACAAAAATTATTTGTACGGACTATATATACTCACTTAAACTCGTTACTTTTATTTTCAGAGTAATCAGCTTGCAACAATTAGATTTACTTACAAAATTCCAAAAATTAACTTTTAAATTGAATTTTAGAATTTTTAAAAATAATAAAAATGTGTTTTCACCTTTTTCACTCCAAATTACTCATAGAAAAGTAAAAAAAAACTCCAATTTATATTCATGGCTAGACACAACTCTTCTTTTCACATATCTTTTTTTTACTTTAAAAAGCAAATTTTCTTTTTTCAAATTATACAATGAAGCATGGTCAAATGTCCACTTATTATTGTAAGTATGGTTTAGGTAAAATATGCATAAAACTTGTAGACTATAGTAATCTATTTCTCTTGGGTTTAAAATTTAAATAACTAGTAGATTACTTCAATATAGTACTCTCTTCGCTCAATTAGTTATGTGAAATGACTTGAAGTATAAAATCTTCGAATAAAATTCACATAGTTAAAAAGTATATAAAAGTAACATGACAAATTTTTCAAAAACAATTATTATCACAACATCCAGATAGTTAACACCTTCACATAAAATAGATGTGATAATTATTTAATTACCAAGAAACTGAAGATGGAACCAAATCCAATGGTAAGGAAGCGTCCAAGATATGAATCTGCTATGAAAGCTCCAATAAGTGGCAAGAAATTGGTAGCTGATGACCAATAAAAGAGTAAATTTTGTGCAGTGGTAACTCCCATACTATACTCTTTCATCAAATAAAATGTCATATTTGGTAAAACCCCAAAAGTTGCCACCCTCTCCAATGCCTCATTTGCTGTTCATAAAAACCAATAATATAGTTTAAAAAAATAGAATTCAACGACAGACAAATTTTATAGCTAAATAATGAAATTAATCATGACTAATCTTATTTAATGATGGATTAATGAAAACACAGATTATTTTACCATAATCTCTAAAATTTCCCATCATTTAAAAAAATTACAAAAATCTCCTCTCTCTCGGATACATCCTAATCCCCTCTCAGATACACCCCTCTCATTAAGTAATATATCATTCGCAATCCATGAGCTATATATCCACAGATTTCCTCATGAAAATGGCTAAAATAACAAAAATGAGTTCATCCATCCCTAGAGTTCCTTTAATTTTTTGAAAACGTACTACTTAACTTGGAGTTTAAGAAAGAAAAAAAAGAAAGAATTTTAGTTCAACGTAAGTATTATGCATCACCGGGATCTCAGATGAGATTTCACTGATTATATTGTTATTATAGTTTGACAGACTAAAACGAAAAGTATGTCAGTTAATACGTACCTATAATAAATGGCATGGTTACAAGACCACCCTTGGATCTTTGAAGTTGCATTGTTGGTAGTGGAGGATCATCATCAGAAATTAGTTTATTGTGATGAGTTTTAGGTGAATTAATGGTAGAAAGTTCCATGATGAAGAAGCTAAAGATTTGAGGGAAGGAAAGAAGATGAGAATACTATAAAAGTAGTAGTGAAAATATAGAAAGGTGGATTGAGACAAGTAACATGGAGGGGTGGGGTTTATTGGAGTTGCTTTTTCTGAAAAGAAACTAATAATTCTACTCTCTCTCTCTCTCTCTGCAACTAGCTCGTGTGCATTCTTTCTATTTTGAATCATTATACAAATATTTATACAAAAGTTTAAGCCAGAGTTATTACATATATCACGTGAAAAGTTAAAAATAAAAAATATATAGTATTAGAAAAGGTAATTAACAAAGTAATTTCTTAGAATCAAATAAATTATTTATTAGAATATGAAAAGGTAATTAACAAAGTAATTTCTTTTGTCCTACTAGTTAGTGTAGTCAAAGTTTTTTTTCTTTAGTATATGAAAACGAATAAAAAATGTCCTTAAAATATACAAAATTTACCATGTTAATAATTGTGGTTAATTAAGAACTGCTCCTATATTAGACCAAATATCTGTCTCTACACATTGTGTGTAGATCAAAATAAGAAGTACAATGAGATATAAAAATAGGATAGGACAGTGGGAGTTAGTAAGTTGTAACATCGGTGTTCATGTCTTGGGTTAAAATGTACCTAATAAGCAGTAAAAAAGAGGAGACAAAGAGAAGAAGGTAAAAAAATTATAAGTTGTTTTTCAAATTTAAAATTCAACATCAAGTTAAATTTGAATTTTCCATGATCACCAAACACTAATTTTAAAATAAAGAAAAAAATTATTTTGATAAAAAAAAAATGAATAATTCCCATGGTCGAATGGATTCTTAAATTCATAATTTATTTTTTTTAAAAAAACAAATAATTGCACCTCACAAATACTCTAAATATATTTGAAGCAACAAAATCTTAAATCTTTATTTATTTTTCAACTTTTTAATATTTCAAATCAAACTATGTCATATAAATTAAATTAGGAATAACACGTACATAAAAATATGAAATTATCATGTGTATCAACTTATTTGTAACAAAACTAGCAAAAAAATAGTGTCGCGTAAATTGGAACTAGTTGAGCACTATTTCACAGTAGAGTGTTCTATTCCATCTTAGCATAACTACTTCAATGTTTAGTATTATGAAAAGAAAGAAGATTAGGATAAGTTGATGATTACTGCAAAGATAATGAGCATATAATATAATGGATCTTTTAAAATAACAGTTATAAATTTGATTGAGGAGCGCCAGAAAGAATGAATCGAAAAAATGTTCTTGAAGATTATTTATCTGAAAGTAAATATAGAATTGACACTTATTAAAAAAAGAAGAAGCCAGAATAAACTAAAGGAAATAATATAAGAATTTATATTTCAACTTTATGAAATTTTGAATTTAAGGGATTATCTTAGTTTTTGTGACATACCATCACATGTTATTGAGATTTTTGACAAGAATAAGGAACAATTGGCTGGATAACACATGGTAGGACACCACAAGTTCCACTTTTTAAAAATATGTTTGCTTTCTACTATACTTTCTAGATACGATTTCATAGTATGTTTCTGAATAATAATAATACTGCTTAAAATATTTTATAATCATGTCTAATTAAGTTACAATTTTTAAAATAAGATAATTTTCTGAAGTAACTCTAGTTTCATGTATTTGTTCTTATTGCTAATTTATAACTCATTTATCAAAACACTAAATGTTGGGAGAATAAGTGCTAATTATTTTTATTAAGATTGAGACCTTTATACATTTGAATATATTTTTGAATATTAATATGTGCATTAAGACTTACATGTTTAAATTTAAATAAATATAATATTAAGATCTGAATACTACATAATCAGAATAATTTTTTTCCTCAACAGTTGAATATATAAAACTTGTCTTTAATTAATATACAAATTTTAGTAAAATGCTAAATTTATATAACACTCTATTGATAAAATATTTTACAGAAAATTATATGGTAGTTGGTTGTCGTGATAGCTAATAGTGATAATTGTGGGCGTCAATTGGGGATTGTGACAATGATGGTAGTGCTGGTAGCTAGTAGTGATGGTGACTAACAATAGTAATTAACAATGGTTATTGATCATATGGTAGTCGATGGTGCAAACAAATAATTATAGTGGATGATGACAGTTGGCGATATATAGTGGTGATTGATGATGATAATTAGTTATTGATATGATTAATGAGTATAATGGTGGTTAGTGGTGATAATTGAGAATGGTGGCTAATGGTAATGATGTTCGAGAATGATGATTGGGTGATAATAATGATGGCTATCAGCTATAAATAATTTTGGCATGATGGTAAACACTTGATCCTAACAAGTGGTATCAGAGTCAAGGTTGTGAGTTCAATTTTCAAGAGTAACATTCTGCTTGAGGCAGGTGTTGAGAGGGGAATAGTTAGGTAATGTCAACATCCTGCTTATGACAAGGCTCACGAGGAATTGGGTGACCCAAGTTGGAGTCATGATCGAATATGACATTGCTTGATAGACTTAATTAAGAAATTAAGTTACATCTTTGCTAACGTCTATAACTTTTGACATGATGATAAGTGCTCGGAGTAGAGCCGTCAATATGAGCTAGGCCCGTTGGGCCAGCCTGGCCTAACCCGTGATTTGATAAGCGGCTGAGCTACGATTTTTGGAGCCCATTTAAGAAAAGGGATTTTTACCCTGGCCTGAATAAGCCTGTCGATTTGTGGGGCTTGAGAAATATGGATAGGGCTGCCCGTGGGCCAAATAAAAATTAATTAAAAAATAAAAATAAAATAGAGTATTAAAAATAACAGGAGTCTACACTCAAAATCTGTTTAAAGTTTGAAATATTAGAATTTAAATACAAATTATATTTATAAAATATGTACTACATAAAATAAAGTTCCTAAAATTTCTAGGGAATCATTACATAGGCCATAGCCTATGGAATATTATCATAGTTTTTGTGTTCTATTATGATAATTGGAAAATAATTAGGTTAATATTTCTATTTAGCTATTTATGTTTTTATTTGAAATCAAACTTAATAAATATTATATAAATAATTTTATTTGTGTATTTGATTAACAAGTAATAACACTAGTCAATATTTATGATAATATTTTAAAATTATAATTCAATTTAAAAAATTATAAAAAATATACTTTTAAGAAAAGTGGGTTGGCCCGGCAAAGCCCGTAGCCCACACACTTGTGGGCTGGGCCGATCATTTTTTGGCCCACATAAAAAATGGGCTAGCCCAGCCTGACCCGTCAAATTGCAAAGCCTGTATGGATTATCCCAAATGGGGTGGGCCATTCCTCGGAGGTCATCAATGAATAACTTAGAAAAGGAAATGATTAAAGATGCATGCAACACCTAAACAAGGTATCAGCATTATTACATAAATAATGTTGTACAGATAAGTAAGATGATCCTAGCAATAAATGCCAGGAAAGAATTGGACAAAAAACAAAATAATTACAAGCAATTATTTGTTACAATTTTAGTTGGATATTTTTGGCACCTCCTTCAAAGGTAAAAAATAAGACATCAAATGGGAGCCCCTAAAGCCATAGTGATTATTATTATTATAGATAGGTCTAGGAGGAATTCTTTTTTGGGGTGGGGTGGGGTGGATTGGGGGTGGGGGGTTAAGTTTTTACTATCGTAAATTAATGATGAGAAGTTTATATAATAAATATGATTTTTTTCATTCATTGAAAAAATATATGATAGGAAAATGATTCTTACTAAAATAATAAAAAAATTTCTAATTATTATTTTTTTTTAAAAAATAAACCACCTCAATGATGGGTTGGGTTGGGGTGGCAGGGCTTATCTTGAGTAAAAAATTTTACAGAGAAATATGTGGTCTGAAAATGAAAATTTCATCCTTGTACGAAAAATTTCATAAGTTTAGGTTACATAAGATAAACCTATCTATAACAAGATAGTCATAATAAAAAAACTTTCTAATTATTACATATGAAAAATATTGCTACTTTTTTAATTATTGATTTAATTAAAATGTCTCTGAAAGTTATCACTAAACAATTTTAATAGAAAAATAGTGATTTTTAGTAGGGTTTATTGGAGGGTTTGCGCATTGCAAAAATTAAAAAGTTATTCTGTATGCATATAAGGTAGACACATCACATATGCATCAAAGGAGCTAGGATTTTTTAATTTCTTTTCAGAATATAGTTCCTGCTTTTACTACTAGAAAATAGGGAATTAACGACGGTCAAAAGTTAATAGCTAAATAATAAAAATTTCATGTTAAGTCTATTTAGCTACAAATTATAAGAAAATTTAATTAACTAGGATTTATGAGCTTTTTAGCAACAAATTAATTAGAAATTACTGATAAATTTTATTGCTTTTTAACTCCTTATTTTCTAGCCGTGTTTGTTTGCTATTGATGTTTTTATAACAGTAAACTTGAAACTACTTTTATTAGCCTTAATTAGTTGATATTTAATAACCCTCCATAGCCATTGCTACTTTAAAATCCCCATAAAAATGTAACGACCTATTCCCGTTGTTATAGAAAAACCAACGGGGGGAATTTTGGGGCCGAAAAACTTTTTCGTAGTATTTGAATTTCCCAACCTTATCCAGATTTGGACGAAATCAGAGTCCTTGAGGTGTAGGGAAATCTGGTAACAATCGGGTGAAGTAATTATGATATTGATTACATGAGTGGTTAGACAACTCGTTAAGGAATCCGTACGACTTTACGGAATTGAATTCGGGCGAGTAGAACTCCCGAAATCGATCTTAGCGTAAAGGGTATTTACTGAGTGTCGTGGGTTAGAGGTGTGTTGTGAAATGAGAATTTTGGAATTCTTGAAATAACTCTCTTTCTCGAGAATGCCGCTTTGACGCTGGGTTTTTGCCGCTGTGGCGGGCCCAACGCGAATTAAAGTCGTTAATAAACCCCTAAGTGACCTCATTATGCACTTTTCGACTTTTTGAGCTAAGGAACGACTCCCAGACGACTCCTACTCGTTTTCACCATTCTTGAGGCTAA